TAGCTGTTGACTGCTAGCTAGCTGTTGACTGCTAGCTAGCTGTTGACTGCTAGCTAGCTGTTGACTGCTAGCTAGCTGTTGACTGCTAGCTAGCTTTAAAAATGTTTGGTGGTCCCCCAAATTAGCCAAGAAGGCCATTACACACCAGACTTTTTCGGGCTCGGCCGTTTGCAATGACTGCATAATTATGCTGTAAGATTTTGCGCCATTTTTTAGTTTGGTTTTTTCCCCAATATTACTTATTAATCTTGTTCAGAAACATCAGCACCAGCTCTTCATCATTTGATATCAACTTCATTTTTTTTCCAGTGTTTTTTGGAGACTATTTTTTTGCAGAAGCTCAACAATTTCTATTTTTTTTTTATTTTTGCATCTCAAAAAATGTGAACTTCGTGCCATTTTTTGCAGCACGCTTGGTGTGTAATGAAACACGCAACTTTTTCACAGCTGCTCTCCATCGAGGTGTGAACACCTCTGCGGTCTCTACAGGAGGCAACTAGACTTGTTCAGGCTGAAGCACCTGGGGAGGGATTCAGTGGCTGATCGCTGGTGTCGTAAGCCACCACGTCTGGTCACTGGTAGGCATTCAGAGGACATCAATGGTTTCAGAGGACAACCCCCACGAGAGGCTGAATACCTCGGACTGAAGAAGCTGATTGGATGAGAGGTGAAACTTAAAGAAGTCCAGTTCTTCTCAGGACGAGTGTGACCTGGACTGAAGACCTACGCAGATGAACTCTCAAACCTTTATCAGGATACAGCAGCAGTTTTTCCTCAGCCAACAAACTTTGATATTTCTTACAAAGCCTTAATAAAAATAATAAACCAGGAACGTTCTCATTTCATTTTTCATTCAGTAGCACGATCACATTTTGAGACGTACAGCACGTGTGTGTTCAGTCATACTTCAGACCAGATGTTTCCTCACATTCTTTTATTATCACGATGAAATATTATTTTTTACTTAATAGAATTTCGATCATTAGTTAACGACTGTGAGATCGTTGGTTTAAATATGCTGCTTCTAAACATGGAGCCAGAAGGCAGAACAACACCCACACGGCTCTGCAGTCAGACCATATGCTGGCGTGCGGCGCCGTGTGGGCACGCACTCAGATACATCCCTGCCTCCATCAACCTTTCACCTCTGAGACAATACAGGGTTTGCTGTTTAACCATCTCGGGTGGAGCCAAGTGTAAATGTCAGAATTAAGGGTCACTCAGGGAGAATAAAGGTTTATTTTTAAAACTGTAAATCATGAAGCAATGAGCATTATGGGTGTTTTACTTCTTCTTCATGATATCTCGTCATTATTTGAGATTATAATGAGTCATGTTTTGGGGGCGTTTGCATTATTAGCAGCTGCCTCTGTGTACATGTTCCAGCTGGTCCAGGCTGACCTGCAGGACTGAGCTCTGCTGCACTTTGTGCTGTCAGCTGCGAGGCTGGCCGTCATCTGTAGGATGCTGCGTGTTATTAGGATTATCACATGGTGACGGGCCGAGCTCCGGGGGCTTTGCTAAGTGCAAACCACTCGCTTTCTCCAAAGCCTCTGTTGCTCGACATTTTGGCAGGACGAGCCGTGACAGCGGAGGAGGAAGACGAAGAGTAGGAGGACTTGAACTTTTCAAACGTGCACACTGCAATGACACGGGCGAGAACAAAGGCAGACGAGGCAGCTGTGGTGTCGGTACAGCAGCTGCTCCTCGGAGGCCACACTGCAAGATCTGGCTGCTGAACCTGAAGTGTGATAAAATGCTGCGTCAGCCTCTGAGAAGCGGCGTGTGATTAAATCGGCTTTGGGCGGTCCTCGTTATTAACCCCTCGTCTCTGTGTCTCTGTGTGTCTGCAGGCAGTGGAAACAAATCTGGCCTCCAAAGACAGTCACTGGGTGTTCGTCAACGAGGTAAGTCACACCGAGACATTCAGAGCATGTGACACAAACTTTCTCCATCAGTGAACTTCTGATAGCAGGAAGTCCATCGTTCCCGACTTCTGGTGCTGTGAAACAGGCAGAACCAATGGGGCCCTGAGGAACTCGTGCTTTTGATAGATGACGTCCAATCATTACATATTATTCATTGTTTTGTTTACAAGAGGCAGCCAATCAGGAGTAAGGTGGCTTAAAGGTAGAGTGGCTTTTAATGAAACTAAGATGGCTTGTTTCAGACACCAGATGGATCAAGAGACTGAAGCAGGGAATCATGCAAAGCTACTCTAGTAGAGTCCAAGAATAGAAACAAGCTGCCAGCTGTCAGTCAATTAGCCTTTTTTCAAGCATCCCTCAATATTTTTTTATTTTTATCGATTACATTTGTTTTGGTTTTTTTTTATAATTTTGTTTTTAGCTTTTTAAATACTTATTTATGCTTTTTTGGCAGCTAGTTTGAAGCTGACTGTAACACATGAACACACTCATTTAATCCCGATATTGTCAGGATTACTTACTGCCAGCAGATTAGACATGTGACCCTCCCGTCTGCAGACAGCTGACCAGAGCCGGCTACACAACAGCTGGTTAAACCAGTTAGTGTTAGCTGTGAGGCCCTTAAATATCAAACTTTCCCTCTGATAACCAGTTTGAATACATTTCCACATGATAGATGATGAGAGTTTATTCAGTTTCATTCCAACAACGTTAGATAAAACAGCCACGCCCCACCTCAGTATCACTGTCATCGGACAGAAGTGAGCTTCACTGACTCTTCCACTCATGTTGGACTCCTTTGACAAAGACGTACGGCCTCCTGCAGCCATCTTTTATGCTTTGTGCTGTTCTTTGCTCTTTAACAAATCTTCAGTAGTTCTGGTCTAACTGGGGTAATAGTGACGTCTGTGCTAACCTCTTTAGCTCGTTGCTTTAACCGTTTCTCCCGACACGTCTGCATCGGTTCAATCTCAGCTCGATTTAAATGTTGCTCTGAAAAGAACACAAATGAGCTCCTTTAAAGCATCATTTAGATCACAGCGTGCCAAAAACTACCCAACTACCAAACTTGGTTTCCTCTGGAAAAGTTTTCTCGCCATGTCGGCTTTGAGTTTTGATGATGTTGCTTTCATTACGGCTGATTTTGGACCAGAACAGCAGGAACGGGCTGCACAGAGAACAAAAAGGCAGATAAGTTAAAGAGTCCCGTCCTGTGTGCTTGTTCTGATGGAAACCATTTATATGTGGGATACAAAACAAGCTGAGTGGGTTTGTTGCCTCTCTCCAGCGGCTGGCCTTTTTTCTCCCCTCTGACGGGGATCAGCGAGCGTGGGCAACTCTCCATGCTGGAAGTAAAATTGAAATGAGTGGAGGTGAAAAGAGAAAATGACAGCACCCTCCACCGCAGCTGGGAGTGTGTTCAGTCACAAAATACCGACATCTCCAGAGCCGCGACTTCTCCCGACTTGCCCGCTCTTGCCAGCTGCTTACAGGTTTATTTTTTTATAGTTTTAAATTATCTTTCCTTTTTAATTGCTCACTCTGCTCTCCCAGTTTCAATATTAAGGCAGCCACCCAGCCAATTAACTGAGCTGACAAGTGTTAACAGCATAATTCAGAGATGGCTGTTGGTGTCATCTGCTGAAGGCTGAATACAAAAACCTCAGAGCTTTACTTTCAATGCCAGATTCCCTTTTCCCCCATTTTTCAGCTCCCAGCTTGGTAACAGCCTCCTCATTCACTTCAAATTATCTCCTTTATTTCAAAGTCATCATTTGGCTAATTACTGCGTTTTTAATTAACCAGAAGATTGAAACAATGTTCAGATCCTGCAGCGTGAGTTTGGGCTTTTTGGCACATTAGACTTTGTGATCACACATGTTTCCTTTGATAAACACGCCCGTGCGTCTCGTCCTTCCACACTGTGTATGTAAAATATCCTGTAACCATCAAAGGAAATTATTTAAATCATTCAGAATTTTTTATTGCTCATTTTCTCCACTTTGCCACCTCCTCTTCTCCTTCCAATATGCTTTTAATTAGATTAACAGCAAATTATGATGTTTACATAGAAATGTTCCTCAAAATATTCCAGTTATCTTCATTAATGTGGGATTTAAACTTCCTATGAAAAGAAGTGGGGAAACTCAATCTACTGCATGTGTGATTTCCTAATTATCCAAATTTAATTTTAAGGTTTTTTTTAAATTATTCATGTTATTTTCACTGCTGGAGAGATCATGGTAGGCAACAAAAGGCAGGAAAGGTAAGCGGTCCTAAAAAGAAACAGCTGGAGGAACATTTGCAGCCAATCAGGTTCATTGGCAGCAGGTCAGTGATTGGATATAAAAAGAGCCTTAGAGAGGCACCGTTTCAGAAGTAAAACTGGGAAGCGGTCTCAGACAAAAAGCTGTCAGGTCTCAGGAAAAAAGTTGTTAGGTCTCAGGAAAAAAATGTCAGGTCTCAGGAAAAAAGCTGTTAGGTCTCAGAGACCTGACAGCTTTTTTCCTGAGACCTGAGGATGTCCTAAAATGTACACTTTACTGGTGGGGATTTGATCCTTCACTTAGTGGTATAGGAGTTTTGTGGGTTTCCAGTTTCATCTCTTAACCGGGCAGCAGTCTAGGAGTCCAGTTGCGCTTCGGAGGATATTTATTTCCATCCACTTCTATCTGCGTTCATGACCATAGGTCGGGGTTGGACCGCAGATTGACCAGTAAGCTTCACTGTCACGTCTCTCTCTTCATCACATCTGACACACATTCACACATCTATCCATCTATCAGTTGCTCGCTCCGCTCTCCCCTCCCCTCAGCAACTCATTCCCAACCTGGAGTTTGCACCCCAGTCTTCTGTGGTTGTCACAGTGGGCTTCATGGTGGTGGGCTCTAGTGTAAGCAGAAGTCCACTACCTGATGAAGCGATGACATCCAGAGCATTTTCTTACTTTTTCATGAATGTAAACCACATGAAGCGTGTTGGTGTGAACCTTACAGATAAAGATGGACCTTTTCCATAGATAAGAGCAGCACCAGCTTCCTTGTTACCATGGTGCCTCCTCCGCCTAATTCCTCCACACAAACATCATGTGAAATCAGCTCTCCAGCCTCCAACCTGCTTCATGAATACCGTTCTGTCCTTGTTCCCCACTTTGCTCTAAAGTGTTAGCAGCCTCTGTGTGTAGTGTGTCACCGAGCTCAGGCAGGTAACAGAGGTAGTTTCAAGTCCTGGTGGCGGCGCAGTGAGATGTCAGATGTCCTGCCAGCAGGTAGACACTGCCGACGAGCTAATTTCCATTTCCTTCCTCTCTCCTTCTTCCCGTCTGCTGTCAGCACCTCCCCGCGCAGTGTTCAGGTACACGGAAAAGACTTTCACCTTCACTGTGTAACGCAGACCCACAAAAACACACCACAACAACAGGTGAACAAAAACTCCAGAGTGATTTTAAACGCAGCGACATGAAGGTTACAGTTCGTTTGAAATGGATTATTAATTATTAACTATTAAAAGGCCTCAGACGAGGTTTTTCAGTTATAAATTCATAATTGAAGCCGCCAGTTTAAATTAAAATTATTATCATAATACTTCTGGTCAGATTTTACATTTAGATTAAACAGTTTCCAGAAATCTCCATTCAGATGCTCGCAGACATTTCCCCTGATTATCTCATCGATGGCAAACGCAGGGCTGAAAATACAAAGTGCAAACCAAGTGTAAGTGAATCAATCTCCACAGACTGTTTACAGCTGGTCTCTATAGATAATCTCCCCCTTTATAAAAACTGTACAGAAGTGTTTTTATAACGCTTCTGTTTAAAATGTTCTAAGGCTTAAAGTTATCCATTAAGAGCCATTAGCTATCTGCTAGACTTCTCCTCAGGTCATTGCAGTCCCTGAACCGGACCTCTGTGGTGCCATCCA